TATTCAGTGAGTAACGTGTGAATTTTAAATATCCTAGTATTTCATACAACTATCATTATCTAGTTATAGAGATTGTTCAGTTTTAATTAAGATCATGAATCGATCAATGTTAGATCACGATTGAAAACCTTGAACAACTGAATGACCGTTTTTTTCCTATTTCGGGACTCCTCAGAGGTGTGCATCCACCATCTTATACATGGAATTCAAACCCACTAACTTCAATCTCGACCATAATAAACTGTTAAGCAAGAATTATGCTGATTAATTTGTATCATTTAACATAATATTAAGAAATAAAAATTCATAGGTAAATTAATAACCGTCAATCTCGCGCGCGAACACTTAACCTATAAATCACTGAGCCGGCATTCAACGTTGTTGATGTCTGAATCCAACTAATCCACGAAATCGAGTGACACACACACCATTGTTTTCAGTGGGTTACTATCTCACAACAGACTCGGTTGAAATCCACTGGTCACAACTTCTCACTAGAACTCCAAATAATACCTCTTGTAGACGATCACTAGTGAGGATATGATGATTGTAATCAGAGGGGCGTTTTGTGGATATTATAATAATTTTAATAGTTGAAATCATGAGTCAATTGAAGCTAGACCACCATGGAAAACCTGGAAGTACTGGATGGTTGTATCGTCCTAGTATGGGACTCGTTATCAGTGCGCAAAATTCGAACCCAGGAACTATCAATCTCACGCGCGAACGGAATATGGTGGATCAATTGAAGCTAGATATTAACACTGTTGGATGCTGGCCAGATCAATGGTCTACAGGTTAAGCGTTTGCGCAAGACCGATAGGTCCTGGGCTTGAATCTCACAGGGCGGAATCGTAGATAAGCACTTCTGAATAGTCTCATATTAGAATGAAGCATCCGTCCAATGCTTCCACGTTTTCTATGGTGGTCTAGCTTCATTTGACTCATGAATTCATCTATTAAAACTAATAACCAATAAAGAAATAAATTACAAATATATCAGTGAAATTATTTTTCTTTTTCTTTCTTTTTTTCTCAGTTTTTAATTACTTTTCTTTTCTTTTATTTATTATTATGTCAAGTAAAACAAAAGTTAATTCTAATTAAACTATAAAAAGAAAATAAAGAAAGAAGTATCTTCCATTATACCTATTATAACCGTATACCTATAGTATATAAGTATACTAAAAAAATGTTTATAATTCTCTCTTCCACCCCCCCCCTATCTTTTTCTTCCCTACTCAATAAATGAAAAGAAATCACATTGAACATTGAATAGTGAATATTGAACATTGAAATAATAAAACAATTTTAATTTAATTTAATTATCCTAATTGTGTTTTTTTTACACAATTATTATTATTTTATACATTCACATTAGTTCATTCATTGAACATGTAAATGAATTCACATGAAAACAACAACAAAAAAACAAAAACAATCAAATGAAAGTTAATTAAAATGAAACCAAAAAAACTTTTTTATTATGTAATAAATATTCAAGAAAAATAATAATAATTAAAATTTAAAATTAAATTAAAGCGGGAAAAAAACAAACTTTTAATATAAACACCGATGATTATGGTTCTTTGATATTATTAAATGAAAAAGTAGAATGATGATTTAAAGTTGAGATTTTCATAGAAATTATATTGTACAAAAGATAATTACACTTACTTCACTTACTTACTTACTTACTTACTTACTTACTTACTTACTTACTTACTTACTTACTTACTTACTTACTTACTTACTTACTTATTTTACTCACGTCTGCTACTGCTCGTGGAGGAGCATAGATCGACTACCAATATTCTTTATCAAACTCTGTCCTGGTCAATTCTTTACACTTGTTTTCAGTTGTCGTTTATCTTTCTGATGTCTACTTTGAATTCTTGGAATAGTTTATTCATCAAAATTTTGTAGTGTTGAATTAGCTTTGAAGTTAAAACGACTCATGGAGTTGTTTATAAGTATATATGATTGACAAGCACTTAAACCAGATCTACTGAGACCTACAAAGACGTGATTTGAATTATATATATAGTATGCGGTATTCAAATCCATAGACGCCGACTCAGTGCTCTAGAGGTTACGCATTCGCGAGTATCGTCGAAAGTCCTGAGTTCGACTCCCACGTACAAGATTGGGAAGGCTCATCACCAAAGAGTTCCATACTAGGACAGAACAGTCATCTAATGCTTCCAGTTATTCTAGTTATTCTATTATCTTTTATAAATACAATCTGATATTTTTATACTTACGTAAATACAATCAGTTTTTGACACAAAAATTAAATATATTAACTTGTATTAATACGGCAATAAAACTTCTATCATAGAAGAAGAAGAAGAGGAAAAATAAAAATAAAAATGGAATACTGACAAGATTGTGCCTCTTTTTTCTTAGAAAAAAAAGAAGAAAAAAAGAAAGGAAAACCAAATTGGTTAAGTTTAGTCGTCAAAAAATTATTAATCATATAACGGTTTGTTTAAACTTATAACTAATCAAATATACAATTATTTGGCGCCTTAAATTAATTTATTAATATTCAATGAAAGAAGTATTCACAATAGTCATCATCATCATCATCATAATCTGTCCTTTAAAGGAAGACAATTATCGATTAGTTCCATTGGTATTTCTTCTTTTTCCCTTCAAATGTACAGTTACAGTAAGGTAACTAGTTATTACTTTTTTTTTAAAAAACTCTAATAGACTTCTATTGAATAGAATTAATTAGTTTAAATAAAACTAATCACTAATTCGTAGTCATTTTGATTGTGTTAATTAGTTAGTTAGTTAGATTATAGTACAGACGGTTATCTATTGAAGAATCGTATCGGCACATTGATTGTCATTTTGAAACTTTCGATAATATAAAGTAGAAAGTAAGTTATGTAATAAAAAGAGAAATAAACTGAACCATTTGTATTTCTAACACTCGTTCTCTTGGATTGATTATTGAATATTTTAGAGTGATGGCGTAAATGCAAAAAACATGTTAATATTAAACATTATTAGGATATACATTTCTTGATACTGTTAAAAGTCATAAGATATAGGTTTTTTAAGTAGAGATGAAATGCAGGACGCACGTTCATCCTATTTAGAGCATACCAGTTGGATGTACCTGTATCTTAGAGTTTATGTTCACTCCGGGACTTGAATCCGGTACCGTTTGCTTCAAGTGTCATCGAGTTACCCACTTTACACATTTTGGATTTCACTGCTAGCCACCATAATCTCTTCTTATAATGATTGTGACGTAATGACAATATTGAGACGTTCCGCTTAGGATTCGCATATGTTTAAAGTATCCTATCAATTGTAGCCGTAAACACCAATGGCAAGATCCAAACAACCAATGTATATATTAATTAAAATTAACAGGCATATAGTTTTTTTACTCATATGAACCATAACAATAAATTCTGTGAACTAGATGGTTACTTTACTTATTTATTTTTGTTACCACTCGGAGAGGAACATTGACTGGCCATCAACATTATCCATCCAACTCTATCCTGGACATTCCTTTGCAGTTATCATCAGTTTGTTATTTATCCTTTTGATGTCTGCTTCTGATTCCCGGCACTGAACTAACGGTGTCATTTATTTAATATTGTAGATAGTAAGGAAATAAGTTCAGAATTAATTTTCTGATTGGCTGACTATGATTGTTGAATAAATATATTTCAATGTAATAGTTGAATTCACGAGTCAATTGAAGTTAGATCACCATGGAAAACCTGGAAGCACTGGACGGACGTTACTTCCTAATATAAATTTATCAGCATAAATTTCTTGGCAAACTATATAGGGAATCATTTGTCTTATTGAAATGTGGATTAATGCTGAGTCAATTTGAAAATATCGCCATTTTAAGAAATAGAAGTTACGTAATCAGAACTATAATTTACCGATAGTCCTTATTGTAGACTAAACTGATAATACATCTCAAATTATCTTCACTTGGTATATTTTTGCTTGAATCTTCCCATTAATGTTCAGCATTGCACTTGATCAGTCTCTTATTGATATATGTACATTATGTGCGTATTGCCTAGATATTGAATTATAAGCAAATATGGATAGTGGTTGACAGTGGGTTCCAGGATGCGCATTTCATTCTACTGAGTTCAAATTTTAGAGTAAACATCAATTCTGGGATGCAAGTACATTCAGTTGACGAGTTCCAAATAGGACAAAACACACGTCATAGTTTCCACTGTTAACCGCCATCAATCTTTGTTTAAACCTCAAATTATTTAAAGACTGTAAATAAAAACTTAACAGCGAGAATTTCGTCTATACTATTTATGTTATTACTATTAGTACATGTCAATTAAATTGTATTCAATCAATGGAGCCAAACAATTTCTTTTCCTAGTTTTACCTACCACAAAGTGTGCTAATTGAGTTATGCTAAAATATAAATAATCATACAATATATATATATAGAACTACTTAATTTGTGGCTATTACCATAATTTGTCTTTGGTATATTTTCAATGCAAAAGATGAATCAGTCTAAATAAATACAAAGAAGTAGATGGATAGTGGTTACTAAGGTTACTTAAATTTGTATTTTATAATCATTAAATAAAATAATATTTTGTAATTCACAATCGGTTAATGAATAATTGATCAATCACCAACGATTTCAACTTGGGTGCGACATTTAGGGACATTTTGATTTATGAACTATTCTCCAGGGTAATCGTTCTTTTTTGTTTGGTTGTTTAGTTGGTTGATTGGTTGGTTGTTGGAAAATACGCAAGAATCATGTCGTTAACCATACCAGAAAAAAAAGTATATTGTCACCCCTTTTTCCAATGAATGAAGCCATTTTTGCGCAACATTTAAAATCAACCAATTAAAACGATGAATTTATAAATTGGTAATTTATTAAATTAACCAATCAGAATTAAGTTGAAGCGAGAGAGAGAGAGAGTGGGAAAGAGAGAGAAAAAAGTGGAAATTTAATTTTTGTTTAAAAAAAAAAGAAAGATTCATTCAAATCTATGAAATTATTTTCAGAATAAAACATCTTCATTGAATGATCTTCATTGTTACACTAAACTAATTGAATGTCACGTAAACGACCATCATTTATGGTACATGATTTATTAAAAGAAACTGAAGTCACATTGAAACATTGGCAACGTGAAGAGATTTTCAATTTTCCAATTAAAAAAAAAGTTTTATTAGATGATAACAATGATGATGGCGATGATGATGGTGATGATGATGACGGTGATGATGACGGTGATGATGGCGATGACAATATCAGTCATCATATGGAAGAGATTGACAACTTCTCTAAATTGTATAGTAATAAGATCAATTTTATTAATCAACAATATAAATCTCATCATTCCAGTTTATTTAATGTATACACAAGTAATTGGGATAATTGTTTATTTAGTGTAAAACATACAATACCATTGGATAAAGAAGGTTAGTTCAATGATATTTAAAAGTGATCTTATTTTATGGAGTTATTAAAGAAGTATGAAAAACGTATTTAATAATCATAAGATGATATACACTTTTCAGAATAGAGTTGTGGAGATTATTACGTTTTTGATTAAGATCATGAACTGATTGATATTAGACTACTATTGAAAACCTGGAAGCACTAGATGGCCGTTTTTTCCTATTGTGGGACTCCTTAGAATTGTGCATCCATGATCCCATATACGTGATTCGAACAGCTATCTACCTCTGTACAATAGAAGATGATCGCGTAATTTCGCGGATCGGTTGAAGTTAGACATTAACATCATTGGATGCCAGCTGACTTGGTGGTCTAGAAGTTACGCGTTCGCTCGCGAGACTGACAAGTCCTGGGTTTGAATCCTGCGAGCGGGATCGTGGATGCGTACTTCTGAGGGGTCTCATAATAGGATGGGACGGCAGTCTATTGCTTCCAGGTTTTCAATAGTGGTCAAACATCAATCAGTTCATGGTCTCAATGAAAAACTTAATAATCTCAGATCTCATTTGACTAATTTGATGAGGATTTCTTGATAGAAGTTGAAACTCGTCTATGAATAGAATCTAGGCGTATTCTTAATAAATCAATCTTTTTTGCCATTTTTGAAATACTTTTCACCACTTCTAAAAGTTATTTACCCGTGTTTATTGATTGCGTTTTTAAAACTATTGGATGCATTTGGTTACTCAATTAAGCATGTTACTCTCAACGAGGCATAGGCCGCCCACCTTCATTTTCCAACACACACTGTCCTCGACCTTTCTTTCTAGTTCTATCCAATTCTTGTTCATTCTCCTCATGACTATCTCCATTTCCAGGCGTAGTATTTTCCTTGGTTTCTCTCTTCTCCTTTGGCCTTGAGGATTCCATGTGAGGGCTTGCCTTATAATACAGTTAGGTGCTTTCCTAAATGTGTGTTCTATCCACTTCCAGCACTTCTTCCTCATTTCTTTCTCTACTGGAATCTGGTTTGTTCTTTCCTTCAGTAGGTTGTTGTGGATAGTGTCTGGTCAACGGATCGGAAGTATTTTGTGAAGATAACTGTTAATAAACAGTTGTATCTTTTGGATGATGACTTTCGTAGTTCTTGAAGTTTCCACCCTATACAGTATAACTGTGTTGACATTTGTATTGGAAATTCTGATTTTCGTGTTGGTTGACAGTTGTTTTGAGTTCCGTGATGCATATGATAGTCATAATGTAATTAGAACATATTTCAATAAACAACTTTCGCAACTGATCATCATATTTTGAGAATATCATACCTTAAACCACTTCTGTCATTGTTTGTTCTTATGTTAAAATGTATGTAATTGAATTGGATTTCATTTTGATACTAAATTTTAATTACGATGTTTGAATGAACATTTTAGTGGAGGCCCGTAGTTTTGTCGTCGATTAGATCGAACGATGTTATCGAAAGGGCTCTCCACTTTAATGGCTCGTGGATCTGACTCCATTTAGATCGTAATGGATGATTGTTGTTGAAATATGTATGTCACCTATCCTCATATATAATCATCGACTTTAATTGCGTTAGTCAATAACGGAATTACATAAGTCGAATAACGAGAATGGGACTTTGAATACATATATTTTGAAATATGAGGTGAATGGAATAGAAGGAAGAGAAGCGACGTAGAGTGAAGAGGTTGGTAAGCCAACACCATTTCTAGCCAGGCGTTACGCAATATTTATAGGCAGACAAGAATAAGCTACAGACATGCAATGAGTCATGGGATATGATGTGTACACACATATACGCTCATATAAAAATAGTCAAGACTGATAAGCGAATAATTGACAAGGTCAACACATATAACTCAAGTAGAATGAATAGATTGGTTTGTCCAAAATCTAGAATAAGATATATTATGGGCTTAAAATAAATGGCTGACACTTCAACATCATCCAACTGATAGTATTTGAAAAACAAGCAACATTTTTACCATCTCAATTCACGAGCCGATCTAATCTAGATCACTATGATAAAACTGGAAGCATTGGACAGCAGTTTCGTCATAGTATAGGACTCCTCAATAGTGCACATTCACAATTCCGCACATGGGACTAGAATTCAGGATCTTCGATCTTATCAGTGAACAATTTACCAGTGAACACTTTGCATTGAGCCGTCATTCAACAGTGTTAATGTATAACTTCAATAGATCCATGATCCCATTCAACATTTCATCCATTGGGTGAGGTGGACAACTGACTCCTACTCGACATGGATTGGACTCCACTGGTTACGCCTTCTCACTAGAACTGTAGGAAATCCATCTCGAACCTAATCACTAGATAGCACATGATGATTATTATCAGAATGTGGATTTATGAAGATTATATCAATTTCAAGATTCAATTTACGAGTCAATCTAAGCTAGACCAACATCGAAAGCCTGAAAGCATTGAACGGTCATTTCATTCTTGTACGGGACTCCCCTGAAGTGCGCATCTACAAATAATAACGATATCATGGACATCCCTACTGAAGTACTTTGTATTCTTCTTTCTTGAGATTACGTATGAACATATCAGGTGAGATGAATTTCTATGTTGACTCTTGTTACCACTTGATAAGTTTGTTACAGAACTTAGTTGCTGAGCTTATATAAAAGTTATAGTTATACATCATTCACAATGATAATTGACTTATCTGATAATTAGTTTCAGAATATTATCTAACCAATGAGACATTTTATATTGAATTAAACTTATCTTTGATAATGTAGGACTTGTAATGGATGATTGCTTTGTGGATACTTTATGAAAATACTGCAAAACTGAAAGGAATCATCCAGTCTCCTCAGATTGTAATGAATTGGACTATCGTGAAGTCTGCTCCAAAGTTCTTAGATTTGTCTGTTAATGCTGATTTTGATTGCACTAAAGATTTACTTTAAAATTTCACTGATTTGGAAATTTGAGACAACTAAACATTTCGAATTGATTATGAAAATACTTAAATCCTGATTTAGTTTGATTAGTAAGATTTTATCAATTTGATGATGGTTAGAGGCAATTGATGAAAATCTTGGACCTAAATTTCCAAATAGTTGACACACTCAAATCTTGAGAAAAAAGATTCTTCTTTTGCTTATTTAACTTATTTAACATGGTGGAGAAGATTCGTAGCTCAGGTGGATGATTTTGGTGGAGTTTTGTTCTCTGAGCTAGATGGTTTGGTCGTGGAGCTTTCATCGTTCTTCTGAATGACATCATCAGCACAAACTTCAGATAGAAGTGAAGTGTTTGAATTTCTCCATATGTGTCTCAAAGCTTGTTCTGTTCACCTCGATGTTGATTGGTTCTTATTGACCTTAAGCTTGTCATTGTTTACTTCTTTGTTTTGGTTGTGTCTCCCATTGTTTTGATTTTGTTCTTATGTTTGTGCATGATTTTTCTGATTGGTTGATAAATTGGATCGATTTCAATATGTTTGTTGATTGCTGATTGACCTGAGTGCCAGGCTTCTAAAAATTCCCTGGTGTTTTCGGAGTTGCCTCTGTCTAAGATTTCCACACTTTTCCAATCGAATGAGTGTCCGCAGTTGTCCACGTGTATTGATATAAGTGAGGAGATATCATGGCGTTTAACTGCTAATTGATGTTCAAACATAATTCACTCAATGTTAAGTTGTATAGACCGATAGCCGCATCACAGCTTAGTTGACATGATATATGTATATAAACTTTTTCGATTATATGCTCAAAATATCTTTCGTAAGACATCAGGCACATGGAGAAATCTTCACTCTTTTGTGAAATTTTGAATAGTTAACTATAACATTACCAATCAATACTTCATTCATCTATCTTCAGAGGTGAAGAAACAGAAAAAGTCGAAGAATTCTCCATGTACTTTATTTCTTATGAAGTATATTATATTTTGTATTCATAAAGAAGTCAAGAATTGTTGTTGTCATTCACGAATACATGTAGTATTGTCGGCTATGAGATGATGACCTATAATTTTTGTATCCGGGTTTCAATTCGTCTGATTCAGATGAAATTTAATTGATGAGTGTCATTGAAGGAACTAATGACAATAGAAATCAATTTATAGACATTATTCAGAAAAAAAAAATTCTAATCGATATTTTCACTATTCAATCAACATGAAGTAACTATCTAGTTTAATGCAAGGAGATTCTTCCTTAAGACAAAAGTTAATTAACAATCTATATTATTCAAGTTCTTGAAAGTTGGTTTTGTTTTCGAGAACATTTCCATTAGATGATTCATTATTATCTTCTGAACATACCCGAAAATGACACTTTATTTGATATCAGATAAAACATCAATATCTATTATGTCATAACAGATATTCTCCACAATTGTTAAGAGATAAAGGGGACTTCAGTTGTATAACAATTTGTCAAGCAATTATACATGATAGGGATTATAAAATGATATACATACAGAATATTAGATCTTGTCGATTATTTCAGAATCATTTTATTTTAATGAGATACTGAAGCTGAATTGATCTTCATAAATTTTATGATTAACCTCTTTTGATACTAATCACTAATGACAGGTTTCAAGAGGTATTTCCTGGAGTTCTAGGGAGAAACTATGACTAGTGGAGTTCAACCTGGTCTGTTGTGAGATAATAACTCCCTGAAGACAACGGTGGACGGTGGTTCAATTTCGTGGATTGGTTGAAGTTAAACATTAACACCGTTACATACTGTCTCAGTGGTCTAGAGGTCGGGCGCTCGCTCACGAGACTGATAGGTCCTGGGTCGGGATCTCGCGAGGCTTGATGGCGGATACACACTGACGAGGAGTCCCTCACTGGGACGAAACGACCGTCCAATGCCTTAATTGACTCATGATCTGAATTATTGAAATCTGATATTTGCTGATTTACATGAACAAAGTCTAGTGGCTTCTATTTTCTTGTAATATAGTATGGTTATTGCAGTACATATTAATATCAGTTGTTACTTAAT